AATTTTGGAGATTTGAACCCAGATTTCAGGGGATTTTTCCCATACCACAACCCCAAACCCCCTCCCCAGCCCTAATTTGGGTGATTTCCCCTCATTCCAGCACCGATCTCGTTGTGGTTGAGGTCGTAGAGGCGCTCGAAGGGGAAATTCTTCTTCTCGATCTTCTTCACCACCTCCTCGGGCAGCTTCTTGAACTGGCGCAGGGGACACATGGACTGCCACCTGTGGGGACACCCCGGGGGCTCAGGGAACCGCAGGAATTTTTTGGGTGGAATTTTTTGGGGGGAATTCTGCGGGATCAGCACTCACATGCGCTTGTCGATCATCTTGCAGAGGTTGAGGGTCTTGTCGGTGAGCTGGGCCCAGCCGCGGTTCAGGACGATCTCAAAGATGGCTCTCATCAACCTCCCGGCCGACTGTGGGGTCAGGGAAGGGTTTTGGGGTCACATCCTGGGCGTTTCCCCAAATTCCCATCCATTTTGGGGTGGGAATGACCCAAAATCCCATTGGTGCCACCACAACCGGAGCCATCGCACAGAGTTGGCCTTGGACACCTCCAGGGGTCCCAGGTCCTCTGGGAACTCCATCCCAGCTCCTCATCCAATATTTCTTCCCCAAATCCCACCTGAATCTCCACATGGAACCATGGAATGGCTTGGGTTGGAAGGAACCTCAAAGCTCCACCATGGGTTGGGACATTTTCCACTGTCCCAGGTGGCTCCAACCTGGCCTTGGACATTCCCAGGGCTGGGCCAGCCACAGCTCTTCTGGGAATTCCATCCCAGCTCCTCATCCAAAATTTCTTCCCAAAATCCCACCTAAATCTCCACATGGAACCATGGAATGGCTTGGGTTGGAAGGAACCCTAAAGCTCGTCAAGCTCCACCATGGGTTGGGACATTTTCCACTGTCCCAGGTGGCTCCAACCTGGCCTTGGACACCTCCAGGGGTCCCAGCTCCTCTGGGAACTCCATCCCAGACCCCCACAGGGAAAAATTCCTTCCCAAGATCCCACCTAAATCTCCACATGGAACCATGGATGGTTTGGGTTGGAAGGAACCCTAAAGCTCCACCATGGGTTGGGACATTTTCCACTGTCCCAGGTGGCTCCAACCTGGCCTTGGACACCTCCAGGGGTTCCAGCTCCTCTGGGAACTCCNAGAAGGGAATAAAAAACAGATCCCAAAGCTCTGGGAGAAGGGATAAAAAAACCCAGGAAAATCCAGGAATAAACCCAGAAGAAACCCCAAGAAAGGGGCATTCACAGAGCCATAAAACCCAGAATAAACCCCAGGAAAAACCAGGAAGAAAACCAGGAAAAACCAGAAATAAAGCCCAGGAAAAAACAGTAATAAATCCCAAGAAAAAACGGGGGAAAAAAGCAGGAAAAACCCAGGAATAAAAGCAGAAAAAAACAGAAATAAAAGCAGGAATAAACCCAGGAAAAGGGGACTCACAGAGCCAGCGGTCGGACACCACCCGGATGAAATACTGAGGGGGCAGGGGCTCGAAGACGGGCACAAAAAATGTCACCAGGTGCTCGTCCTGGGCATATTTGGCCTTGAGCAGGAAATATTCGTGGTGCAGGATCACCTCGCTGTCCACGTCCTCCACCAGGATCCAGAAAGCTTCGGAGGAGCCGTGAACCTGGAAATAAAAAAAAAAAGGGAAATTCTCAATTCCCTGTCCCAACCCTCACAATTCCAAGTGTTCCGTCCACAAAATGGCTCCTTTTCATCCCAGAATTGTGGTTTTAAACCTGAATCCCAGATTTTCTGGTTTTGCACAATTCAGGGCATTATCACAATGATGATTTTCACAATCCTGCCCCGTAAATCCCATTTTCCCCCTCAATCTAGGCATTTTCCCCTCATGATTTCCACATCCCAGCCTCACTTTTCCCCATTTTCCCTCACAATTTCCATCCCCACCCCCAGAATTCCCCTTTTTCCCTCAGGATTTCCACACCCCAACCCAATAAATCCCATTATTCCCCCAAATCAGG